CATTAGGATCCCAGCCTTCGTTTATATACAGGGTGGCCGAAAAGTCACCGTACCCCTATGTTCCTTTTCATATATTTTCATAGCTACACCATTGAGGAACGTTTAGTGGCGAGTGTGTGGGTGCATGAAAGACAGCTCACCCTACAAGTGATGATCAGGTCTGTGTCGACTTGCGTGGTGAATGTGCAACAGAGGCAGCAACAATGGTACACGTGTTTACTTGGGTTATCGGCCGACCACTGCGCGGGCTGTCCTTCACGCTGTTGGGAGAAAATGTTGATTTATCCCATGTTAATATGTTGCTTTACGCGGATGTGGCTTTCCAAATCGTATCAGACTTGACCTGTCTGGTGTGCTGCCTTTCATGCACCCACACACTTGCCACTAAACGCACCTCAATGGTGTAGCTACTCGTGTCCGCCATGACGGACACCATGGCTGCGTTGTCGCAGATATCACTTGGTAGGTCGCGCATGCGCCGTTTCGAGCCAGGACCACGCGCCGCTGTGTTGAGCAGGCACGTGAGATGTGCACATGGGTATTTTTAGAACTCTATTCATAAAATATATTTTAAAAATATAGGAAAAGGCAGATTGGGGTACGGTGACTTTTCGGACACTCTGTAGATTGAAATTCCTCCTCCACTATTATTTTTTGAGTGCTTGCGATCTGCTCGAAACAATAGATAGCCTTGAATCGAGAGAGCAGAGTCTGGCACCATAGAAGTCAACAGTGTCTCTTGCAAACAAAGTGCACAAGTAGCAAAGAATGGTTTCTTGCTGATTAGGTCCTAAAAGGTCGGCAACTTTGGAATCAAGCTTTGAGCGTTTACACTCACGATGATCGGCGAGGGTAGGCTTTCCACAACAATAAGAAGAATAGGAATCAGTAAAATGTCTCACTTTTTAAATGAACCGAATTTTCAGCATAAAGTGACTACACGTGCATTAGTGAAGTTGCGAATTAAGTGCAAATTCATTTTTCACTCTTTCCTTCGTCGTAGTCTCGATATTGTTTGAAAATGCAGTTATTCATCATCATCTCGACAGGAAATACCAATCGACCAGAGATGGCGCCTAAACACCAATTCTCAACCTAGTGCCCAGAAAAATACAGATTCCTGTATTTTTCATACAGCACCACATCTCTTCCCACGTACAACTTAAGGGAAGGCTTTGGAATTCCTATCTGATAGATCCATACTACATTATAATACGCTAAGGAGATTCACGGTAGGTGTAGCCTCTGGCCTACACAGCTTTTGCCCCTTCAAGGACATAGGTTAGTTAGCTCCTAAGCCTTCATGCCTTTCCTTTTCTGGATCATAGGCTTGACAGCTAACTAGCCTATGAGCCTTTTCCTTTCCATGTTATAGGCAAGGCGTATTCCGTGATTCCTTCATGCGACTGATTTTGCTGACAAGCCTGTGCCTTTGTAGGATCTACTATGGTTGGAATGGGCTAAACAGTTCATGTGACGTGATGCGCCCCCGTAAGAGAAGCGGCGAGGCTGCGTAGGTCTGCACTGACCACGGAGCAAATTGAAGATATCAATGATGAGGGGAGATGTGCATCAATTGCAGAGCAACATCAGGCTGTTAACGCTGCGTGGTTACCAGCGCGTGTACGCGGCGGACCTTTAACCCTACTCGAGCTGCGTTGGTTAGGACGTTCAACGTCATTCCAGCCGTTTCACATAATTGCGACCCTATGCATGTTGATAGCTTTGTTGGGCTCTGCTTGGCAATTCATTTTGAAACGGAGAAAGGTAAATTTCGGCAAGGTTGTTGTCATGATCATTTGTGTTTCATTCGCACCCATTGGAGTTTCCACTAATGGGAAGATGAAAACGCTCGCAATTTTCGTGAGTTTAATTGACAGTACAACAGCACAAACACGTCCGCTTCCTTTCGATGCAACAATTGTTGACATTATCGGTAATGTTCCTTACTGCTTCTAAAAATCCGGTGAAGTCTACTGGGCGATAGATATGAGCTCATCATGGGTTTACCAGGTATAAGGCGAACAGATATTGCAGATAATAAGGTGAACGAGCTGTTTGGGCAACAACATAGGTTCTGCGATGCTGAAGTGAAAAGCAAACTCGCTCATTCTGTGTCCCAGGAATAAGCACTCCAGTTTGGTCAATGAGGACGTGTCTTCCTGATTGGAAGGCGAATTGTGCTCACAGCACAGTACCAAAATTGTGAAGAACGATTATGGTGATGATGACACCGATCGGCAAGCCACCTTTCCGTTTGAATTCTTCAACAATCTCAATACTTAGGGTCTTTTTCCGCACGCCATTAATCCTAAAAATTGGATATATCCCATGCGTGTACGGAATCGCATGATTGGGACGACCTTTGCAACGAGACGCCTATGATCGTGAGAGACCCGACTGCAAATGTCTTAATACTAGGGGAGTCTAAATTAAAAAAGGGCAATGGCTTACTCTTAGTCTAAGAGAGGGGACTAAAACTCTCCATTTCATTCGAACACCCATAGTAGTTGAGGTAATCACGGGTGCGCTTCATGGCTGCGTTCACTTGCTGCCAAGAGTTGTACTGGACACGTCAACCCAAGTCACAGCACCATTCCCTATTTGCCAAAATCAATTCCCTATCGAGCTTACCTACGGTATGACTATGAAAAAATTTCAGGGACAGACATTTGATCAATTCGGATTACTACTTCCGGAGCCAGTATCCATGCATGGCATTTGTACGCTGCCTGCTCGAGAGTTCGGTCAGAGTATTCGTAGAAGATTCAGGTTATCGATGGACCAAAGCAGGGGAAAACTCATGCTGGCACCGTTACCAACGACGTGGTCCGTAAAGAAGCACTTCTTTTGTTTGTCAAGTCCGTTTGTCGGGACTATTTTTTTTTACATTATGATATGAACTTTCCGCTTTGTTCTCAGGTGTGTCCTGTTTCCTGATATTTCATGGTTCTTATTTATTTCATGATATTTCATGGTTTATATTTATTCATGTTGAACTAATTTTAGTTGCAATTTTCGCATAGTGGCAGATGTAACACGCTGTGCCTCAGCATATCTTTCGTGCATATATGCTCCATCATGAACTGTATATCAAAGTTTGGCAGCGGGAGCCCGGCTGAGACTATTCTTAGTTTGTGAGCTGTGACAAAAAAGTATTTAGATGGGTAGAAGGCCGCAATTGCGGCCATAGGTCGCTAGTAACACTTGAAAGAGGTAACCCGGCAGGAGACTCCAGGTTCTTCTGGCCTGGGGGTCCGATGAGACATACCGATGTTGCCTTCCTCGCATCTCGGTAGATAGACTTACGCAGTGATGTCACTTTCGAGAATGACAGTGTGTTAATCAGGCTGCGATGGTGTATCTGTCTCTCCTCCTGCATGAGGGATAAGTCTGGAGGTGATGCCAGGCATGTATCTCCTTTATTAGACAGAATGTGTTGTGTCATCCAAGTACTTAACTCGAGTTATGATCCAGTGAAAGCAGTTAATCCGAAGTACCCATCTGTAGGATGGGTACTTCTGCACTTAAAGGAGTATCTTAGAGTACTACTCAATATTAGCACGCTTTCAGGCTCAGGAAAAGGAGGTAATGCCCAAACGTTGAAAATTTAATGCTGCCACAACGTGACACTATGGCATTTTCAAAGTTGGTCTTTGTTTCTTTTCAACTTTGCGGCAAAATTGAATCCATTTCTTACGCACGATTGTGGCAAAATTTCTGCGTTGAACAATCTGTTCTCGCTCAACGTTGACTCGACGTTGTTACGCCGAATGGGTACGCTCTCCAATGATGGAGAATTGCCACATAGGATATCGTTACGGTTGAAATTGTATGTATGTTGTGCTTGTTTTGTCTGTCTCAGTACGTCTTAGTTTTGTCCCTATGGGCCCTTACGGACCTATAAGTACTTCTTATCCAAAATTTTCAGGGTATTAATTTCCTGAGGTAAATAATTCCCTCATCATGCCACAAAAATGTACAAGAGAAACAGCTAGAAAATGACATTGTCGATGAGTATTACAGAAAGCGAATAGCGCGTTTTCGTCATCTGATATCGGTTCCTCTCAAGTACCGAGTACCGAAGCCGAAAGTTCCCGCGTACGCAGAGCAATTGTGACTTATTCCGTATGCGATCAACGGTAAAGAAGACATTTGACATGGGCTGGGCTTTGGCAGCAGTTCCCAAGTGCGTTTAACCATGATTCCTCTTCATTGAGAATTATTTTCTCCAGGAATCCAGTGAACAAAATCGAAATCTACCTGCTGAAAGCCCCGTGTGTACACGGCCTTTCGACTAGTCTCCTATACGTGGTATACAGTTGGGCGCGTAAATAGAAGGGTACGTGCGGATCTGCTTATTGATTCATCTATCATGAAATCATTTCTGGAGCTTGAAAGCTAGAATGGCACCTTTTCTCCTGCGAGAACAGCTCAAAATATTATCGCATGGTTTATTTCACTGAAAAGGTAGGGCCTATAGGAGAGAAAGAATCAATAGCGGCAATTCAATTGTCCAACGCAATGATCAATTTCATTTGCATCTGGAATCGCGATAACAGGCGCGAGCGGGGAAATGCTTTTATCCATATGTTTATATTATCTCAAAATGAACTTGAGGATAGCTTTTTAAAAAAATTGAAGTTTCTTTAGTAAAGTGGAAGCTTCTAATTCAATATAACCTGTACGTTGCTTCGCTTATAACCTGTCGGTATAAGATCTTTCGCTTCATCGGTTTCTTAAATGTTGATATCCGGTCCCCATTTACCACTAACTTTAATCCGCATTTCTCGTTATTGTCTACATGAACAATTTGCCAAGACGATGCCGAGAAAAGGATACTAGGATGAACGAAACCGCTCATGTTTATCGGTGCTTTGCAGCGAGGCAGTCTGAACGTTATCCCTGTTATCGGACGAATTCGCCTCACTGGTGCTCTTTTGTGAATACATGCGACGAGGCCAAGGAGGCCGTATGGCGTTGAAAACATCCGTAAGGGAATGATGTAGTCCATGCGTGAAAGACTACCACATTGAACTAGGGATTATATATGTATATTCTCTTAGTTGCTTTCAAGTCAAATCGCCAATGACTAAACTATAAATTTACCTAACCCACTAAAATATCACTCGGACTTCAGTTCTCTCTCATAATCCATGACCGTGGTCACTAAAGAGTTCTTTGACAACTCTTACAATCCCAGCCAAAATTATCTTCATCTTCTTTCATCTTTTTGCAGGGAATTCAAGATACACAAAAACACGAGACCTTTGAAGCTCCCTGTAGAAATTCTCGGGGACCTAACCCTGCAGTCCTTATGGATAGGCGACACTACTGTGACAAGCATACAACCGGCGCTCATCCTCCCTTCCGAGGATCGTCTTGTGAATTTCACCTTACGAGACAGTCGTCTGAAAGAGTTTCCCTTCCACATCATCCAAGGATTACGGAGTCTCCAGATACTCTGGCTTCGGAACAATTCCTTGACCTCAATTCCTGGTCTCCACAGCCACAGCCTCGAGATATTGGACTTGGCTTACAATAAGATTGTTGCTATTGAGGAAAATGGATGGCATACTCCTAACTTGCGGGAACTCGACATCGGTAAGTATGCGGCCACTGCTGCAATTCGATGAATCCCAATTGAATGCCTTCCTGGGATTGTCCATATTCCATGAGATAACCGTTTCACCTCTTCCATATAATTGAATAACTACTAAAAAGAAGGAAAAGCAACTTCCTCGGCATAGGACGGTTACTGCCGAAAGTTACTCCCTATAAAAGCCTACCTTATATCCCAACCTATATTACTTACATATTTTCCTCATCTCAAACAGGTTTCAATCCGCTTTCGAGTCTTCCGTCCGCAGTGATCAAGGGTCTGGGAAAACTCGAGAAATTCTTTTGCTCAGGGTGCAACCTGGGACCCACCCTTTTAATGGGGCAAATGGAATTCTGCAGCAAGACCTTGAAGGTGGTGTCACTCTGGGAGAATAATATCTCACGACTTGAACCAGGAGCCCTTACAGGTGTACTTACCAGTCAAATTTCATAAGATGACAATTGGGGTGTTTGGAAAACCTTCATTAAATTGGGTGTTTTGCAAAGGCTGTCATATTTATTGCATCTATTTCAGGCGTCAATGGTGAGACGACTGTTTACCTAAGCCGGAACAACATCACTCTATTGGAAGAAAATGCCTTCCGACCCATCCTGGAGAACATGTCCCTGGGAGATGGATTGCTCTATATAGAGTGTAGGTTTTATTTTTCCTCAAAAGCCTGAGCAAATTTCCTGGTGCATCACCATTTTATAATATCATTGCCCACATGTGCTTTTTTCTCTAGACAATCCCATCCACTGTGATTGTACTTTGGATTGGCTGACACTCGCTCCTGGATTAATGAAGAACTTGAAAGGGACGTGTGCCAATGGGACTGAATTGAGATACCTGAATCTGGAAAAATTGCAGAGAACTTGTTGCCGACATCCCAACACGTGCGTCAACGCCGAATTAAAAACATGAGCAACTGCCGTATGGAGGAATTGTGTTGTGAATTTATAAAAACAACGACATTGAATGCCCTTGAAACAACTACTAGTCCTTCGAGTCCTGGTAAGTTTGCACTGATTTCAAATTAATAGCAATGCGTTATCTTCATTCAAACATACCTACTAGCATTTAACATGTTAGCTATCCCACATCGATCGACCATTGCTTATAACCGTCTCATTCACGGCTCATATGAACTCAGCGCAAAAATGTCCCACACATTAGAAAACAGCAGATCTTCAGATCCAGACACCGATACGGAGGCAGAAGCAGTCATGAATCTGACATAACACCGGCATGATATCCGGCAAAGCTAGGGTACGGGACGGAGCTATCACATAAATGAACGAGAGCTAATTTTTATTTTTTTTATGGCGAAAAGACGCATCACAAAGAGGAATGAATGCCTTCCCTTCAAGGACAAGTCTCATGAAGTCAACTAAGAAAATGAACCATCTATCCTCTATCCTCCAGGTCAACATTTTCTGGAGACTCCTTTGGCTGGGGTACCTTGTTAGACCCATATATCGATGAATTCTTGTCTTCTTCTGTGATGTGTGTGTGGAGAAAATATCGGGAACCTCAAGGAAAGTACTAGAGACTAGTTCCAGTTGTATAAGGTACTGTCTCGCTATAGCGGGTCCTTTGGCGTCTTGCGGGACTAGCGTCGATTCCCTGAACCTTTTTTTTTTCTAGCCACTGTCAGATGGATAGAACAGTCATACTCACGAAAAGAGCCTTTTTAACAATCAACGAACGTCCTTGAAGAACATAATTTTTGGTGATCATACGACTCCTCTTATTCGAGTCCAAAAGGTGCTTATCCCTTAACCTAGAACGATATAAGTTTTTTCGCGTCGGCGTTGTGCGTCTTCCTGAACGTTCTTGTGTAACTTGGGCTTGTCCGCTGCCGGGTCACTCCAGCACCACTCCCAGTTTCAGTTTTCCTGAACGTTACTTGTTCGAATGTGTTCATTTCTCATGCATGAGCGAATGTAATTATCGCACTCTTTATTTTGCCAGGTGAAATAGGTCGGCCAGATACAAGCTTCACCGAAACAGCCTTTATAGCAGCGGCCTCTCTTGTAGTTTTATTAATCGTGATTATCATCATTGTCTGCATTTTCTACAACCGATTACGGAAAGAGCAAGTGAGCCATCTTTATTGGGTAGAGTTTCATCACCATGTTATTTGCTGTATCTTGTGTTCGCAAACCTTGCAGGTTCGCAAGATTGCATTTCCAAAGAAAGATACAGAGCGATTTCGAAGAGGAAAACCGATGAACATCAATCCTACAGTGTGCCTTAGTGAAAAAGCGGATCTTCTGCCATATGACAAGCACTGGGAATTCCCAGCGGAGAGGCTACGACTAGGTATGACCCCATTCTCGAATAGAATCGCCTTGACAAGTAACGATTTCAATTGTGGATACAATCTTATTAGGGGAGGTGCTTGCTTGGGGCGCATTCGGTACAGTCATCAAAGCCGTGGCTAGGGGTATCAGGCCCTCCGAGCCTGAAAGCACAGTTGTTGTGAAGAAAAGCAAGCCTCACTCTGACCACGCGCATTTCAAGGAGCTGATAATAGAAATGAAAATGATGAGTCACCTTGGAAAACACCTGAACGTTGTGAATTTCCTCGGAGCCTGTTCAGGAAATATGGATTCTGGTGAGTTCCATCTTTATTTATTAAGCAATACAGCAAAAAACATTCACAATTCAGTTTCCAGAGCGTCAAGAATTACAAGGTAAAAAATATGCTCTTTCTTTATATTTTAAAGTGGATAGTTCTCAATTGGGCGCTGCTTAAAATATTTCATATACCGTATACACGTATTACCAAATTGCTAAGTCCTTGACTTTGCCTTCTGGCTAGGTTGGCTGAAGGACTTATGGATTTAAGATTGACAGAACGAAGAGGTACGATAGTTGTTTTCCATAACAGGGTCACTCTCATGCTAACGTCTTGAAGATTCTGGGAACCAAACAATTATCACACGGGAGTCTTAGTCTGACTGTGAAGCGTTGTATGGAGTCTTGGAGAACAGACGACTGACGAAAAAGCGTTCTTAATGACACTGTTCGGGCGTCACTGCTGAAAATGAAAGGGATTTGTCGTGTGAGGCAGAATTGAAAATTGGTCAATGAGGATGTTGCATGCTGAGGTTAAGATTAATCGGATATCAAAGCAGCTGGTCACGAGAGACCTTTGCATGCGTCCCTAATAAGAGTCCATTCATCCCGGACTAGCATCAGCTACCCGACGCAAAAGACTCCACCGAAGCGAAAGACTGTTTGTTTGAACTGTTCACTAACCACGATGGTGAGCTTATCCTCTCCTTGAATGAGAATATATTTTTGACAAAGCATAGCTTCTTCTCACAAAACATACACCTCCAAAGTACCAGCTTAGCGGAGATACCATCTGAGCTGAGAATCGTTTCTGGGTAGCAGAAGGCTGGGAACATGGATTGGGCTGTGATTTCAACAAATGACCGCGCAGAACTGGTTTTCGTCCTAGAAGGAGCTAAAATGAACAGGCATCGGTGCCGCGACCTGATTTAGGAATCCATCGCAACGCACTGCACTTGAGACGTTTTCAACAACCAAAACTGAATCTCTCATCAAGAGATTCAGTTCACTCTTCAGCCTCTTCAGCCCACTTTGCCAAAGAGACTCAGTAATTGTCGGGGCGCAAGAAGCCAGACCTCGTCATGGGAACTAATTGGCCCCCATCATCTCAATCCCTTAGACTTCTTCTTATGGTCACTCCTGGGGCAAAAGTCTGCCCTCGCCCATACACGAATGTTGGGTTTCTGAAGTTTCTTCTTCTTGTTCAAAGAAGGAAGGAGATTCCTCAAGAAACTCCGCGCGATGCAGTCCTCGAATGGTGGCCCCCGTCGTTCTAAAACTATTGTGGGGGCACGTAGTGAACATTTTGAGTAGTCCTGTGTTTAAAACTTACCTAATGTGTAGCTGAGCATTTTTTAATTTGATCTTTCTTGAACCTTTAGTATTGGTACCGAGGGAAAAAGCTGACGGGACAGAACTTATTTGTCACGATGTAATTATTTGTCCCACCAAAAACATATGTTGACTTGTCTTGCAGGTGATCTAATGGTCATCTTGGAGTACTGTCGGCATGGGAATCTGGAGTGTTTTCTGAGAAAATATCGATCATCCTTTAAAAATGGAATTGACCATCACACTCTCAATAAATTCAGGATTGGGAAAGAATCCCTTCACTTCGACGCTCACCGGCTCCCAGGTATTAAATTTGGTAATTCAAGAATTGCAACAAATTGGGTAAACTTTCATTCAATATGAGAATTTTCACAAAAAATGTTCCACCTTACCACGGTATATTTCTAGTGAAAAGGAGGGGAATGTGAAATCGTAGTAGCCCCCATGGTACTCACGGCTCAGTTCGAATCAACCGAGAACGTCAGTAGGACTTACTACCACATGATAACATAATTTCAGAAGCTTCTACCATTACGTTCACTTTTAGCTCCGATTCTTTGATTCTTCTCTTGAGTTTCAAGCAATAATCCGTGTTCAAACATTTGTTGCAATCCATCCCACCTTCTTTCCTCTCTTGATTCCATCGCTTCAGACTCAAATTTGCAGGCCAGAAGCCTCAAAAAGCGGGAAATCCCACACCGTATTACTTTTTGCACAAATTTAATCAAACTTGGGTTTTTCCGTTTGGAACTGTAGTAATAGGAAACTAATGCAATACCTCTTTGAAATAATTAACCATGCATCGCCACACATGAAACTGAATAAGCAAATATTTAAGTAACATAAAATTCCAGGAGGAGAACATGGACAAGGAATGGGAACGACAATCAGGAAGAAAGTGGAAATTTCCAAAGAGATTAATCTCCTTGTGTCTTTCACTTATGGCGATCTGGTGTCCTGGGCATACCAGATATCTCAAGGCATGGAGTACCTGAGTTCCAGGAAGGTGTGTTATTTCCAAAGCACAATTATTAACCGCCATTCTGGCCTGGAGAAAATGCGCGAACTAATACCAGATCGATGAATATTTTCAAGGTTTTCCAACTACAGTAAAACCAGGAATACTTAGCACGAAACTTTTTCCCATTAAAGCCCTTTGCCTCTTAACCTTTTCCACTCGAATTTTTGCAACACTCAAGGTACCAATGGGCGAGTATACTCGCCCATTCGAGTGGAAAAGGTTAATCCTAATTCCGGCATCATGCAGGCGAAATTTTCAAGACAATGAAAAAAGTGAATACAATTCATTTTTACCATGCATTATTGCCTCATGCACACAAACACCAAGCGTAGCTGCAATTCCAATACCATCGAGAAATCGTAAAGCTCAGAATAAAAAACAACAAAGAACGCACTTCCATAGAGACCTTGAAAGAGAACCTAAATGAATGGTAGAAAGTACTTCATTTCATTGAAGATAGTCCATCGAGATTTGGCGGCTAGGAACATTCTCCTAGCAGAAGAAAACATCGTGAAGATATCAGGATTTCGCTTTGCCAGAGATACCAATGTAAATAATCAGTACATCAAGGAAGGAGATGTGAGTTCCTTACATACACATTTCCTTTTTCAATCAATTCATGGAATATTAACAGAGTCCCTTAACCTAAATCTTCCAGGGTCCTGTACCTTACAAATGGATGGCTTTGGAATCACTCATCCATGGGCAGGTTTATACAAGCAAGTCAGATGTTTGGGCTTACGGAATAACACTCTGGGAGATTTTCGGCCTTGGAAAGACTCCATATCCAAACATGAAATTTGGCGAAGTCATCCAGCGCCTGGAAACCGGCTATCGCATGGAGGCTCCTGATTACGCCAATGAATCTATGTGAAATGCCTAATATCCTTACCCCGCAATACAAACTGAATTTTTCCTTTTTTTAAATTACCACTTCCTGCGTCCTTCCTGTACAGCTATCAAATCATGAGGAAGTGCTGGGATGCGGATCCAAATGATCGACCTACATTTTCTGTGCTGAGTGTATGGTTTGCCACTATGATGCCAAAATCTGAACATCAAGTACATATTGATTTCATACCGGTACCAAACACAATGCTATACCCAACAAAATGTCATCCATTGTTTCACTTTGTTTTTCTGCAGCGCATTTTGGGGATGAATAAGCCATACGAGGAAATGAACGCCGAATACTTCAAAACGCATCCAGACTACTTGCAACTGATGGCACCTGGAGGATTCGAAGAGGGATACCTTGAACCACGTGGAATCCTGGATTTACAAAAGGGATCATCTGCGTCCAACCCAGACAATACCATTCACGAGTACTTCGAAATCGATGAGGATTTCAAATCTAAAATCACTAAGAGCGTACCAAGGGATGAAATACGGGGAAGCCAATTCCCAAGAATGCAAACAAATGAGCTTTGGGGCGATACCCACGTATCGCACGGGAACCAGAGCAAAAAAACCAAGCCATCAACTTGGATTCAAAATAGTAACTGTATTTGAACTGAAGTTGTTTGTCTAAACAATGACTCGCCATTTGGATTGAAAATGACCATGGAAAGGCACGAAGAGTTCCGACGTAATCCTATCATGATTATGAGTTTGAAATGATTGCACCACAATCTCGAGAATCCTTCGAACTTCTGGTTTCCTACACAAATATCTTTTTTTTAATGGAAATTCATTTCCACGATTGATTGTGTCCTCGTTTACTGTACGCTCCTACTCCATGAATCCTTTTCCAATGGACACCCTACCTGTCCCACGATTCCATGCTGCTACGTTTGGTTGTGTTGACTGGTCAGGAATTAACAAAAATAAAATCACAGATTCTGGGATGAAACCATAATCATCCTCACAGAAGAAGGTGAATTCTCAAAAATAATTTTCGGATGCCTGGAAAGTGTTTTTTTTTGTGGAAAATGTGCTACTCCTGAGGTCCTTCTTCCACTGGACTATCGAAAAGTCTGTATATACAAAGAATGTCGAATGAGTGAGAAAATCTACATAAGAAGTGCCTGCTTTAAATTTTCTGTGAGCACTTTGTGTAGTAGCCAAAGATGGCGATTTCTTGCCAGTCCTGAGTGCCTGTCTGAAAAAATATGGTGTACATTTTAAATCAAAAGTTACTTTTAATGATCTCTGAAGATGGAATTGATTCAAGCCAGCAGCTTATGTCCATAACCTAACCTAACCTAACCTAACTTTTTCAAACCCTTCATATTACAGTCTAATTGGCATTTTATTACTCTGCAAATGACACCCTTTCAAATGATATATGGTTCGTTGAATTCGGTTTAAGGACCAAAATTGCATTATATTGGGCATACTCCTTTCTACTATATATACATGGTTTTAATTAGCATTATTCAGTCAATTAGTCACTCGGTCACGATCGTTTAAATTCCCTACATCCTCAGCAGAGAAAAAGTGCACTCTGGAAATGTGCGTCGGAAATACACAATTTCATCTTACTGTACTTACAACTTCATCTTTACTTTATTTTCGCTGTAGCAGAAATAACATTCAAAAACATTCATCCCACCTTAAAAAAAAATTGTATGTCATATATTTTACTGAAGGGCTTGTGTCTTAAAAGGGCTTTTTCCTGAACTCAAGAACCTGAAAGCTACTACTTCACCAAGTTGGTCTAAATCATATCTAGAACACAGTTAGAATCAACGTAAGTCACTCACTTAGTCAATCGTGATTGCCTATACCAGGGTCTATTCATTTTTTTCCTGCATGGTCTGGACCACGTGATAGTGGTCAGTGAGATTGTGCTCCCCTCAGGGCAAGAATTGGTCCTAAATACAGGTATTAAGAAGCTGGCGTGACTCGTCATTGCTTTCAGTTTCAGCGTAGCAGTGTAGCGAGAAGAGCGCTAGTCCTGCTTCCCTTGGAAGGGCAGAAAATAAAAAACAGAAAAACGTTAAATTAAACGTCTTTCTGGAAAAATCCCCAAAAGGGATCCATGATCTCAAGGGTGAAGCTCTGGGAGTCCGTGTACCTTCGTATGAAATGGTGCGTTGGTGGATGAATGATATTCGTTCCGGACGTGACAGTGTGAGTAAGGCCCGACGCGAACGCCGACCAAACCCCAGGAACATCAAAGAAGAATCCCACGAGAAGTTTCGAAGTATGCAAAAAATGGGGCAAGAGGGAATAAAATCAGTACTAATGTCCGGAGTGCGACGTTGGGCTACGCTCAGCACCTTGTTTCAAGAAGTACCGCATCAACTACTGCTTCAAGGTAGATGAATAAAAATATTTGTACCAAAGTATAACTTAATATTTTCTTAACAATAAACAAAAATAAATTTTAAAAAGGTAATTGCTTGCGTTATTTCCGGATTATATCCCATAAGCGAAACGCAGCTCTGAGACGCATGGAACCTATATCTGAGAGAATGCTTCTCATTGTACAGACATAGGTTAGATATTAAGTGTGTGTCTTGTCTTTTTGCAGAGCTGCATGCTTCTTCCCTACGCCATTCTGAACCCTGCACAAGGCAAAATGGATGATAATGATGTCCAAGGTTCTTCTTTCGCAATTTCCGAAAACTTGCTTATTTTCGAGTTTCTCTAACATGAATAATATATAAACTAGTGGTAGGTAAAACCTGCTGCAAACCGGAGGAAAGGAAATACTCTGTTGTCGTGGAAGGAATCACCATGATCCTCAGAGACTACCACCGAAGTGGGAGCCGAATGTGTTCAATGAACGTGTTCAAACGGAAATATTCCGATCCTTTCCCAAATGTCATTGAATTCTGAGACGGTCAAGGACAGGCGACTTTAGGTGGGATGACCGACCTCTAAGAGGGTGTACGTCGGAATGTCGAAAGCAGAAACGCAGAAAGGTAGTAATGTCGAAGGACAAGAATGTAGATGCCATAAAATGTCGCTTATGCTAAATGTCGAATGGAATGGAGCCAGAGTTCTAAAACATCATCGAAACAGTCGAATGTCGAAAGGTATGATTTTTACTCGAGTGATCACCCTGTGGGAATGTGCAAACATGACTTAGTTGAACGATGAGCTTCACGAAAGGGGCGATGAGGGACTGGTGGACTGCTTCGAACTGTCTGCGGCTATACGAGGGGGATTCAAAAAGTTTCCAGCCTAAGGGGTAAGATGAAGTCTGAAAAACGCGAATGTTATTTCATTTTTCGACATGATCTCTTAGAACAACAATGCATTTTTGCTTGCGTGATTCCAGCTTTAGGAGTGAATTTAAAAAATTCTTATTTTTGGTCTTCATACCAACTGTCAATGACCATCATGACGTCGTCATCTCTACTGAATGTATTTCCATACAAATTTTCTTTCGAAAGAGGGAAGAGGTAAAAATCAAAGGAAGTCAGATCAAGGGAATAAGGAGGGTGGGGAAGCAATTCGAATCCACATTGGCGGAAAGCAGTGTTTGCAACCATGAGAGGCATGACCTGGTGGATTGTCCTGGAGAACTAACACACCCCGGCGAAGTTTCCTTCGACGCTTCGTCTTGATTGCTTCTCTCAGCTTCAAAAGCAGTTTGGCGTAATAGTCACCCGTTATGATCCTTCCATGTTCCAGGTAGTCATGTAGCAAAATGTAATTTGCATTCTAGATGACTTAGGTCATGACCTTGCCTACTGAGTCACTATCTCCATGGATTTCCTTTGCGGTTATGTTTTTCAAATGCAAGAATTTAATCATTGCACGAAGTTCAATTTTTTCCATTTTTCCAAAACATGAGAGCGACCTCACTTTCAAAACCTGTGGAAAAAGGAAAGTACTAGCTGGGTGACCGAACATGCTAGTTTTCCCCTTGAAATTGGATGGAGAATCTGGGGGAAAAGCAACGTTGCGCTAATTGTTCATCTTCAAGTAGTTTTTACGAATGAGATATAATGAGTTGAAATTGGCAAAGTAGCTTATGCGATATGGGGTCTCTAAAGGGGAAGTTTCGCATTCTCTGAGTCTGCCGAGGACAAGAGGCTTCTGGCAAGTGCAGTGTGATTCATCATTCTTTTTAAGTTAGAAACACCAAGTAAGCATATATCTATCCAAAAGACCAGTGAGTTTCATACCGTGAGTTTCCAGTCACTGGTGTAAACCAACTTTGGAAAATTTTCCTCGAGTGTCGGACTAACAGCCCCGACGAGATACTATTGGAGATATGCATTGTTATTTTAAGAGGGCATGAAAGCATAAGCGGAAACGTCTTATCTCGCACGAACAGACACCGTCAAAGAACCTCACGAGATAAAGTAACCTCTTTTCCCTCGAGGGAAACGGAAAAAAGGACAGGGAAGCTGGATTCTATGAAAGTCGACTTCAAACTCCAGACCCTTCAGAGCCATCAGTTCTTTTCTGGTGAGTTCCAAGACATTCTCGGAAAAAGTTCAGTCTGGAAAGAAAATAGGGAAGTAAAATTACCTGTAGAAAGGAGGGGATTACTTACCGGTAATGTACAAGTAACTTATCCATAATTTAAAGTAATTTACTCTAATTTACAAGTAATTTACCGATATTTCATCATTGTATTACCACTTGGTTACAAGTTACGGCCCCAAGAAATATATGTATAATTTTCTCTAAAGGGAAAGTTCCAATATTCTCTTCTGCAGCTCTAGAAAGCAAAAATATGTTACTTATGTAGTCTGAATACAGATAAGCTTTAGCAGAGGAGTTTAGGGATATGGAAACAGACGTTCCTGCTGGATATTTTAATTTTTTTTGCATACAGAGCTTTAAAATAAGGGGGAAATCTGGAATGGGGGGGGAGGTTAAGGCAATATATTCAAATATATGAATGATAGGCCATATATGTCTAAAACTGATTCTTATAAGTTCTTAAATGCATACAAAGCAAGTTAAGAAGCGAAATTCTATTCATTATTTGCATGAAGTTAATCATGAAGTAACTACTGAAGAAGAACTGGAAATTTGATTGCAGTCAAAACAGAATCACCTTTAATCATTTTTATTAAAACCTTGGAAATAGCCCAACTGTTAGTTGCACTTATCATGAATGATCAGGTGTGTGAAGGTGATTCATTTAAAGCAGCTTGCTGCTTTCGAAAAAATTAAATTGTGCATTGTATGGAAAGTAGTGAAAGTTTTAATTGGTGCAAGAATGAGGCCTTCAAGAAAACTTTGGAAACTTCGATTAATTTATGAAGTTTGAGGCAGAATGCTATAGAGCAGGGGTGTCAAACTGGTGGTGGCCCATGGGCCGAATCCAGTCTGCCAGTCCATTTTGTCCCCTTCAACAGATGGTTATGGAAATGAACAGCAAATTTTAGCCTGTTTGCATTAAAAATAAGATGTTACATTTTTGCTGTGGCCCCAAATCACCCCTGAAGGCTTCCATCTGGTACCCAGTCTAATCGAGTTTGACACCCCTGCTATAGAGCACTGTTAAGTTCAACGTTCTATTCCCCTAACTAATCGCAAAGCAATTCGATCGTTGGTTGAGGTCGCTCACAAGTTCAACCATGGTCAGAATGTTCCTTTGCATGGCTTGGCAACCATCGATAGTGATATCAATGCATCGACCTATCGTGGTAGCCCTATCATTAAACTCACCTCCGCTATGAATACCAAATGCAAATATCTGAATCGATAGGTACCACTGGTAGACTTACATGGAATAGGCTTAAGTAAAGATATTCCTGTAATGAAAGTTCCTGTATCGGCACCAGCGGAATATTCTAATCCAGGGATGCACAGCTCAAATGGCTGTGAGGGCCATTTGCGATTTTTGCTCACTGCGGGCCGCAGCTGACTGACTATAGCTTTAGCCAATGGGGCAAAAGCGATAGTAGCACTTAAAACATCACCGGTCATTTCGGGCCGCGGACGAGGGCGTCGCGGGCCGCATGTTGTGCACCCCTGTTCTTATCTAATATCACTTCTTTCAGTGAGGGTACTTCACATGCACAATGCCTAATCTCTATTCTTAGGCCTAATCAATGAATATGCCTAGAAAATGAGCATGAGCTTTAAAGATAGCAATATCTGGATTAATAAAGTCTGAATACTTGGCAGTCTACGCTTACTCATCGGCAAACGCTTCAACTAAATATAAGACTGCTTCGGTCTAGCTAAACTTGAACTTTAGGCTATTCACCGTGAGAAGCACATAATCACACCGCCCGCTGAACTGATACAGTTGCGGTCGTAGTTTTCGCGTCGCATGGAGTCAAGTTACAATATCATTCATATGTACATGCACGATTCCACATTAATGATATGAAGGCAGGTTCCTGCACGGTATGAATTGCTGAGAGGAATTTCATCAGTAACATTGAACCTATGACTTCCACTTGTCCGGAACAAAGAAAACATTTAAAGACTGGAGGAAATACGGGAAATGGGGGGGGGGGTCGAAGACGTCCAGATATGATCAGGCAAGGCGCGCCCGCGGCCTTGGCTAAGGGCTGCTTCGTGAAAATACCGTGAGGTCCGAGTCGGAATAGTCACGACTCTTGCTTTCTTTCATTAATTTTTTATTACTTTCATTTATTCAAGATCATGGCTGACGTCATACCATATACTCCAGTCATTCTTGTATATATCGTGTGTTGGCTCGCAAAGGCACAAGGCCTCCTCCACTGAAGACATTGTGTCTCCACTTACGTTATGCTTTTGCAAGGGATGTCACTAAATGTTCTTGACAGCAGCAATGGATTGCAATCTAACCACTGACAGCCTCATAGAGACACGACGGGCCGGACAGGACCAAAAGTGGTCTCTATCGTTTCTTTAAGGCCTACTAAGTATCACATGACTTCCCATTGGACTGATTTGAATTAATAGGCGATCACTTCTACTGGCCACAATTGACACCGGCACCGGGGCCGGCCGATGGTTATAAGGAAAAAATCGACCATTAGCCCACCGGAAAAATTGTGGTCTGGGGTACAGCCGTAACTTTGGTAATTAAAAAAATGTGTACTCCACATGAAGCGTTTCAAACGCATCTCAAATAGGATTTGAAATTATTTTATATATATTCTGAAGCTTTAGGTCGTGTGAATATAAAACGAAAGTGTTTCGAAATCCAGTAGCAAAAAAATGGTAAGGGTAGTTTTTTGTAAATTTCTGATTCTTCTCCATAGGTAATTATAACTGTCTCTTGGAACATTTTAATCGCCTGGGGCCATTTTTGCTGCATTAATCTAGCATATATTGGGTAGTTCAAAGAAAACGCTCTACCATTTTCTATGGGAGAAACATACTTTCATAAATGCAGCGAAAAAAATTGAATTGGATACGCGATCGATGTTGCAGTTACAATGCGTTGAAACGTTTGCGGGTTTTTTCAGCACCTTTGCCTAATCGCGCAGAGCTCATTTAGAGGTGAATTATAGGTGCTTAGAGGTGGATCATTTCACCTCAAGTGAGGTGATCACCTGTGCTCGACCGTCTCAGAAGTCATTGAACTTTTAAAATTTTAGCAATTAGAAAACCTAAACAGCCATGATTTGGGGAGCTGTGGACTACCCTAGTAATGTTCAGGTTGTGTTGGTTTGTTCCGCAACGGGCACACGTATCGTCATCACAACTACTACGACGCGGTCGGACCTGTATTACTTAGAAATATTTTATTTCGACGAACGTGAATGTCGCAATTGCATGCTATTCATTCGAAGCAATCAATTTTTTTACTGCTTTAGGGCATTTTATTGTACCTACTTTTGGCTCATGAGGCCCATACGGACTGGATTTGTGAAACTGTTTCTGCAATGACTTTCCCTTTTGCTTAAGACCTAAGCTTCATTCTGGTGTCATGTTATTGGGCAATTGCCGTCATTAAATTGATTCTAGATCCTATTCTCTAAAGACGAAGCAAGATGTTCTACTTAATCAAAAATATTGATCAAGCTGAGATGCCAATATCTACACTTGCCACCTCGAGAATTCGAGGTGGCAAGAATATGCATAATATCCTGCTATATTTTTTGCCGGAAATAGTTATCAAAGGCCAGAGTCAATGACACAATCACAAAGGTATCAAGGTCTTTCCGGCATTTCTGCATGTCTTTCATGTACAGAAATTTTCTAACCCGAGGTCAATACGCATTGACAGCGTTTATCCTATTCAATTCCGCAATAAATTCATTGACGGCTGCGACACCGAAGGCAGTGTCACGTTTTCGTACCATTCCACTTTTTTATGTCGATGGTAGGAAACGTACGTTATTTACCTGCGTCACTTTAATATTTTATGAAATCACTAACGGTCTAGGACGAATGAATATATGAAGGTGGATGAAAAATAACGACCGATGATATTTTTCTTGCCACCTGTTTTCATGCAGTATCAAACAAACGTTCATTTGTCAATACTGACCTCTCTCATTATGGAACACTTACCCTGGAAAGACTTTTGTCGTGGATACAAAACGTAGGAAATAAATAAACATTACTTTTTAATCCAACCTTTTGATAAGAAAATACCTAAATGTTTTTGGTAAGAATGAGACAGTTTCGACTAAGAATGTATTTTTACGAAATAGCCCCTACCACAGTCAGACTGGGGTCTAGACGATTTTGGTTGGCTTGACCCAGGTTGGGTCAAGGCTCGGCTCTAGGAAGCTTCTCTTTTCCCCACATTTTAAAGGTTACATAACCAATCCTATTTTTCCGCTCTTTAATATTTTTTCCCGAGCCATGTGGAAGTGCGTCTCATTAGTGACGGAAATGTTAATGATGACCGGAAGGTCATGGAAGGCAGGAACGTGCCAGCATATATTGCGTCTACTATTTGGGCATTTTTCGAAATTGTAGTGAATAATTAGTCACGTTTTTGGTTGATGGAGCGGCATAGGCGCAACCAAAGGCAAACAAACTCGTCACTTCAGTCCTAGACTTAGAAAAATAAAGAAAAACAGCATTTTAAAGAGATCAAACAGACTTCGAACCATTTATTCCAAACGAATCTTCCCCTTATGAACAAAATACTATGCAAAACTTTATAAATGATCCGGACAACAAGAGCAAACCTTTCTTAGCAGTACACATGGTATCACGAAGGCAACTCCATCAATGTGAACTCAGGATGATCAAAATTCATTTAAATAACATACCATTATATCGAACGAACTGACTTATCTCCAAAAATCATCCAAAAAAAAAGGAACAGTTACCAAGTAACGACATCTATATGCTATTTGCAAACCAAAACGACAGGAATTTTGGTCTCTGAAGGGGTCACGCATGATGTTCATTTTCATAATTATCAGGCCTTTAATGAAATTTAAACATGAATATGACTCTGTGGGTCGATAGAGAAGAATACCTACAATACTTGTAACCACTCAGAACTAAACCAACTTTGAGATCTAAATGTTGAGTTGTAAACAAGAAGATTCCTGACGAAAGGTGGTAAATTTAACTCATATTTTCTCTTCTTGCAGGCAGCTTCCAAACAGGAAAAAAATGCCGCTTGGATTTGAATCTATCACGTCAATCCCAGCCTTCAAGAGCAACAGCCTGGAAGAACTGGAACTATATCACAATAAAATTACGAATGTGGAGTTCGACAAATGGAAAACTCCCAATTTGAGAAAACTCTAGGATTTGAATCTATCACGTCAATCCCAGCCTTCAATAGCAACAGCCTGGAAGAACTGGAACTATATCACAATAAAATTACGAATGTGGAGTTCGAAAAATGGAAAACTCCCAATTTGAGAAAACTCTTCCTTTCTGCCAATTTCTTGACATCAGTCCCTGCGATCAAGAGCGACATCCTAGAAGAACTAGAAGCCTAGAACTCTACCTCTATGGTAATAAAATAACGCATGTGAAGTTCGACAGATTGGAAATTCCCAAATTGAGGAAACTAACCCTTGCGGAAAATTTACTGACATCGGACACCGCCATAAATAGCGACAGCTTGGATGAACTCGACCTCGGTGGAAATAATATCACGAATTTGGAAATGGACGGAAGCGGAACTCCTAAATTAAGGAAACTCTTGCTCTGGGGAAATTCCTTGACCTCATTCCCAGAATTCAAGAGCGATAGTCTGGAGGAAATCAACCTCTCTGACAGTCAAATCACGAATGTGGATTTCGACAATTGGGCAACTCCCAAATTGCGGGAAATCTTCCTTTCCAGCAATTCCTTTACCTCAGTCCCAGCATTCGAAATGGACAGTCTGGAAAAACTCATTCTCGATTTTAATAAAATCATGAATGTGGAGACCGACAAATGGGCAGCTCCCAAATTGAAGGTTATCTCCTTCAACGGGAATTTGCTGACGACAGTCCCAGGCTTCAAGAGCGACAGTCTGGAAGAACTCGGCCTCAGTTGGAATAAAATCACGAACGTGAAGTTCGACAGATGGGAAACTCCAAAATTGAGGGTTATCTCCTTCAACAGGAATTTGCTGACCAAAGTCCCAGGCTTCAAGAGCGACAGTATCGAAGAACTCTACCTCGATGACAATAAAATCACGGATGTGGAAACCGACGGATGGGCAACTCCCAAATTGGGGATACTCTCTCTTGCCGGGAATTATTTGACGTCAGTCCCTGCCTTTAAGAACGACAGCCTGCTTGATAACTTTCCGGATTCCACGTTAAATGAAAGCAAAAGTAAGTATAGATTATTTGCATTTCTTCGTTAATCTGTAATGCAATCAATTCCATTATTTCACAATTTTCCTTTGATTTTTCCGTCAATTTCTAGCTTCCATACTTCACCGAAGAAGGAAATATCCTAGTTTTGTTTTGAATATGAATAATCACCCCTTCAAAACATGAAACTAAAGCAAATACTACTACAAAGCTTCTGCTTCTTTCTATTGTGGACGCTTCCTAACACCTTTATTTACTGATCTGAACTCAGAGCATCCCCTCTCTCTCCCTCTATCCCCACATCCATATTTTACTTTTCTTTAATTAGAAGAGGGCAGGAAGTATTCAAGTAATAAACGATGAGGAAAAATCTCTGTATTGAACTGAAAACCTTTCATAGAATAGCAAAATCCGAAAAAATTAAGAACTTCGAAGTTCATATATATACACATAATTTACAGCTAATTTCAATTAAATTTTGTTTCATTACCTGCTAACATTACATGTAGAAGCCAGTGAATTTCATGTCGATAAACCATATGGTACACCGTCTGCAGGCGTGTAAAGTTCGGAACGTTTTTTTGGGCCACCCGTTATTTCAAAGTTTCAAGTTGAAGCAAAGTATTGTCCACCGCATTTCAGGTTTTTGGGCCAACACGAGAGTTTCTCCCCATCTCCTGCTTTTTAATTTTTTTTTTCTTGCACCTTGGTCCAATTCTGTTCTAGGCAATCCCATCCATTGTGACTGTGGATTAGTATGGCTGGCATTTTCTCCTGAATTGATGGGAAAAGTATTCGTGAAATGTGGAAATGGGACCCATTTGAAAGACCTGACGGAATCGCTGAAAAACTGTCACAGCGCGCCAATTACATGCCCAAGCCGTCCTCAGTGTCCCAATGGCGTAGGAGGTCTACAATGCTTCGACTCGCCTCACTTTCTTGTGCGATGAAGGTAATGTCAATACTTCCTATGCCTGTCCTGAAGAGGCGCAAGTCTGCTGCATCAGCTCCGTCGCATCAGCAACACCTCGCCATGGAAGTGTAAGTCCATAGTATGTAATAATACCATCACAAGTTCTGCAGGGGAAAACATTAAAGAATCGGAGGAATATTATTTCCGATTGAAGGCAGAGGTGACCGGCTGTGGACCACTTCCAGGCATCAGACACGGACACTTCGATATCCTTTCTTGCTCAAATGATGGGCTGAGGTAGGATTATCCAACCATGCTCTACTTTTCTTTGAGGGACGGGACGGAAACTTGGAAGGAACTTTCCCCACTTCTTTATAAATTTACATATATGAGTGTTATCTCATAATCATGCTTATGATGATCACTGGGAACTGAAATGTGTCTTTCATGCAATGCAAGATGAAACTTCGTTATTCCTAGAATATAATTTTTCACAACATGCAATGGTGCCTGTTAAAGGACAATTGAGCTCGTTTCATGTGGGATGGGAACTATTTTTCTTATAATATCGAAGCTTTAGTTCTGGCTACACACAAAAACTCATTTTTTCAGTTCCAAAAATGAAACAGAATGCATTCAAGGTGGGAAATACCTCATTGGGAGTCAAGTGAAGTACACTTGTGCGGAGTATTATATCCTAAGGGGCCCACGTGTTCGGACTTGCGGAGCGAAGGAAAAATGGTCAGGACCTCATCCCTTCTGTGAACCTGGTCCGTCTTGAAGAAAATATTTTTTTCGCTAGTCAATATTGAAAAATTGTTTTAATGAATTCCTTGGTGTATTATCTCCATTTTAGAATCCGGGACAATGAAATATGCTCCTGGATCACCTACGGCATTAATTAAAGGCG